CTCAATGGCTTCTGGGAGTTAGGTACGGAGAAGTGTAGGGGTGCAGTTCTGTGTTCCAGGTGTCCCCGAAGACTTCATTCTCAGAAACAAACCATGCGAAATGAAGCAGAGGATGTTTGCTAATGTCCAGGCCCCACGTCCGCAGTAGCGCATCTGTCATGCACATCCCTAAACCCTAAGCCCTAAACCCCGAAGCCCGTAACCCTTAGCCCTAAACCCTACGCCCTAAGCCCTAAACCCTAAACGTATCCGAGTAGGCCGGGCCTTCCCTCCCCACAATACCCTAAGGGTCCAATAATAGGGTCCCTTACAAGGATATATAGGGCTATATGGGAACTATATAAGGGTCCAAAGCCTCAAATAATGGGGTTTGGGGCCCAAATACCATGATATTCATGGTATGTGGGCCCTATCGCCGGCTGACCACTTAACATAAGAGAGCTATGACGCTTGAATCTAAACCCCTGGAAACAAACTGCAAGCAGGAATGAATCAGAGGGATCTTTCATTCACCTCCTGCTGGAATGTAGGCTTAGCAAATCGGGTCCAGGGAACAAGGTTCGGTGTAGGCTCCACTCTCGGCGAATGTAACCACTTTCAAGGCCCATGTATCTACTGCGCAAGTACTTTGGAAAGGTGTTAGGGCTCAAGGTTAATATTACCCCAATATAACCCCTATATAACACTATAATATGGTAATTTCCATCTTCTTCTCCATTATCCTCATATACCCCTGATATTACTGCAAGGGGGGTTGAATAGCCCCTGAGGCCGCCTATTGAAAGCCCCTGAAACACACACGCCAGATAACCAGTTGCAGTCCCTGCTACGTAGATACAATGTGGGGTATATGGGGATCTTATTGTAAAATACCCGCAGCCATATTCTATCTACTTAAGAGGAACTATAGGGTTTAGGGTGCTTTTTCAGCTTCTAGCTAGTTGGTGTGACTTCACATCTGGCCACCCACTCAAGGGACGAAACCGGAGTCCGGCTGCCAGAACTCTCGCCTTTTTTTTCTCATGAAACTTGACTCGCAGACATTTTTGGCCACTTTTGGGCGGCCCCAAGATGGTCAATGCTGGTCGAAAATCAACATTTTGAGGCCTCCCTAAAGATTTTCCAAATTTTTGCATTTTTGCATGTTGGGCGATACGAGAATGGCCAATTTTGGTCAAAAATCAGAATTTTTGGATCCTTCAAACACCACAATTTGGGGTCTGGAGCCTAGGGGCCTCCCTAAGGATTTCTCCCAATCTGAACATTTTTGGCCATTTTTGGGTGGCACCAAAATGGCCAATTTTGGTCAAACATCACCATTTTGTTTTGAGACCCCTCAAACCCAATTTCGGCTCCAGAGCTTAAGGGCCTCCCCAGCAATGTTTCCCAATTGTCCAACGTCAAGCAAGGGTGCCACACGTATACTGTATACCGTAAGCGTATGCTCCATCAACTAACTTGCTAGCGATGACAGCGAACTTGGGATCGGATCCCCAGTAATTGTAGGAGTCCCTGTCTAATCCCTTGTTGTCGTCCTAAAATCACATGTGCTTCGAGGTTCCGGGTTTAAGTATAAGTCAAGGACATCCAAAACATCGCCCAGGTGCTACCCCTGGAGGCAAAGCCAAGATCACAAGGGTTTAGGGCTTAGGGACACCCCCAGGGTGAGTAGCTACCGGGTAGGTGTACCCCCCCTTGAAGGGTGTATAACTATAAGTCTCCTCTAATTAAGGCTTAATGCGGCCATATGATGTCCGTGTAAACTTGCTTTAGGGGTACCAACCTGATAACTACCCATTTAAAGGCTTTCATAACAATATACAACAATACCTCTGGATCAAAAGGCGAGATGGTAAGGTCAGTCGAGTACAGGGTCCTTCCTGAACCTTGAACCTTCTTTTTCGACCGCTGCTGTTACTTCTAACAGTGAAAGCCACAAAAATATCATGTTGGCAGACAGCCTGGCAAAAACAAAACAGAGAGGTGCCAATCAGCGTGTGGGTGGCCCTGCATACCTAAACCTTGGGTCATTCCCCCTTATAGCAACTGTTACCACAATGGGTTATAGGAGTTATAAGAACCCCCTTAATGAGGTCCCTTTAAGGACAGTTACTGGGAGGGGGAATGACCCAAGCTAAACCCTAAATCCTATCGCTCCACTGTCAGAGTCATTCCGGCAACACTCCTCCTAGGTCGACCCACCAAGTCGTGGCATGAGCTGGGAAACCCACCTCTGGGAACCACAGGTCTGATACAACTACTAGAACCCAGAGGGTCCAAGGACCCAATAATTAGGGCCCTTGACGGGGGATATATAAGGGGATATAGGGATATATAGGGTTTGGAGTTTAAGGTTCAAGTACTCAATAATTAGGTACTTTGGTTTAGGGTAATAGTAAGTCTAGAACAGGTTCGGGGTAAGTATATGATCATGCGGTACTTGGACCCTCAGGGGAATGTTGTAAGCCATGTAACCTAAACCCTCAACCACTCGCATCGTGTTGATAAATACGCAATAGGTACTACCGGAGACCTGAAGCGATGGAACTTCGAGCGTGCATCCGTAGAATGTCTCCCATACATGGTAGTTTCTCAAAACTGGGTACCCCTACGGGCCTAACAGGAAATACCTGGAGATTACACAAAATTTGTGGGCCTCCCACTTTAAACACTAAACGCAAAACCCTAAACCCCAGGCTACTTGGAGGGTCAGGGGGACTTAGTAAGTAGGTTGATCACCTCTATAACCCATAGAATAACCGTAGTAATCCCCATTATGAACCTACTTGTTTAGTCCCCCTGGCCCTCGAAGTAAACCGCATAGATAGGAGGGGGAGATCTGGGAACTGTTTTCATTGGTGGTTGAACCATGGCTCTCGTACACGTGTGAGACATTCTGCCTACTTGAGAACTCCCCTTAGCCCTAGATTCTAAACCCTAAGCCCTAAGCCCTAAACCAAACCCTAAACCCTGAGCCCTAGACCCGAATCCTAAACCTTAAACTGTAAACCCTAAAACCTTGAATCCTAAACCCTAACCCCCTGAATCCGTGTACCGGGGTCACGGCAGCTGTCGGAGGAAAATCGTTCCTTGATTCCCCACTTTCGTAGCCCAACCTTGGCAAAGGATGCAATCAGGGAGTTTTCCTTTGTACCCTTAGGGTTTGTACCCTTGGGTTTGGATCCCTAAACCATGTAATATGGTCCTTAATATGGGTATTTGGTTCCTCAAACCTAGGGTAACAAACATTAAGAGTACAAACCAAAAGTCTGGGAAAGCTTGGTTGGCCCCCACCAGCAACAGGAAGGTTCCTAACTAGTGTATAGGGTTTAGGGCTTGGGGTTTAAGGTTTAGGGGGCTTGGGTTTAAGGCTGAGTTTAGGTTTTGTATACACATATTCTGGGCAGGTGCCCAACCTTGGGAGAAGCCTGTGAAAACTTTGGTGACTGGGGTTACGGGTAGGCTTCAGGCGCAAAGGTTCAGGTTTTAGCGCTTAAAGTCACAGATCCAAGGTGCGATGTGCCTCTTTTGAAGTGCGCGTTTCAAGATTGAAGGTACAGCGTTTCCGGTATGAAGCCTACGAGTGGACGAATGGAGGGACATCGCTCGGAACTATTCGGACGACTATTGCGGAGCTTGTGAAGTTTACGGCTTGCATGGCTTTTTTTTCTAGAGTTCTTGTTGAGATGGTATGATTCCCCAATCCCACCCACATACCCACCGACTCCAGGGAAAGACACATCTCCCATCTTCATTGAAGGAGATGCGGGCGCTTTTCGGCAGGGGCAGGGAGTGGCTGAGTGGCTATTTTAGGGCGAGGGAATTGAGCGCAGCTGCTGGGATCAAGATCTGAGGATCAGGGTTGAAGGTTCCAGGCCGCAACACTTAAGCCTGAAGGCTTCGGCATTGGACTTTGGGCTTCGGAGAGGCAAAGTTCTCAAGGAAAAGGGCTGCGGATGGCATCTGCTCGGTGGGTAATCACCCCTTGCTCATAATCAAGCCCTCCCAGAGTGTAGATATTGTATGAAACACATGTCTAAACAAGAATCTATATATATATATATGTACATACACTAAGATGCATATATATATATACACATGTATAAGTACATATACATATGTCTGTAAGATACTGGCGCATTTATTCTTACGTGCTTGCGGGTTTGTAGCATCTGGGGAGGGAACAATATTATTGTGGTTGTGGTCATTACTCCAGCAGTAGTGGTGGTGGTGGTGGTTGTTAGTGGTGGTGGTAGTTGGTGGTGGTGGTAGTTGGTGGTGGTGGTAGTAGTGGTGGTGGCGGTGGCGGCGGCGGCGGCCGCGGCGGAGGCGGCGGTGGCGGCGGTGGCGGCGGTGGTGATGGTGGTGGATGATTAGAAGAATTTGAAAAACATTTAACCTTTGCAACAAATGTAATGGAGTTGGAAAACCATACCAGTGTTCGCTGCAACAATACCGGGGAAACAGAACATCAACACCAAAAGTCACAAGCCCTTAAACTCAAATCCTTAAACACCAAACCCTACATAGCAGTTTCCATTTCATTTTCCATTATCCCAATATGGTAGTTTCCCTAAATAGGGGGACCCCAATATAGACCCCAATATACTATGATCCTTATTATTAGGACCCCCAAAATGGTACCCCTAATTTTGGGAAACCCCCATATAGCCCTATTCTCAGCACGTTTGCAAGCTTCGAGCCTTACCCTCAGCCTGCTGCAACCCTAAGGATCCAAGGATCCCAAAGGCTTTAGGGCCCAATTAGGGTTTAGGGTTTAGGGTTAATATTGGGCCCCCTAGTTATAAGTTAGCTCATAATAGGGTCCCTTTAAAGGGGGATATAGGGGGATATATAGGGATATATGGCGACTATATAAGGGTCCAAGGACCCAACTCAAAGGGCTTTAGGGCCCAAATACTATATCATTAATGGTATTTGGGCCCTTAAACCCTATTCTTTGGGTCCTTGGACCCTCAGGGCATGACAAAGGCTCCTGCCAACCTTCCCGTCACTCTGCGCGCGCACGCGGGCTCGTAGAAGTCCCGAAGTCTGCGCCACGGCAATAGTTTTTGGATGGCTCCGGGGATTATGGCTCACGGTTTAGGGTTTAGGGTTTAGGGATAGAGTAGAAAGAGCTTGTGAACAAGCGCAGCGAAGAGAGATATTGCAAGACTTGCATAGGACTGACCTATTCAACAACTTCATAGTATCATGACAGCTTCGCATCCATGCGCAAAAACGAACTAACGTAGGGGAACAACAGCCAAGTTGACAATTGCACTACCCTGACCTGAGAGCTAAGTAAGGGCCTAAGACAACCTGCAAATGGCGATACTGGTACTGGCACTGGTACTTGTAATAAGCGAGGCTATGCAGAGGCCTGACTGATTACCAATGTTATCGCTTGTTATCTTCCAGCAAAAATAAGGATAATATACCATACGCCCAAACACAATCTCAATTATCTTGGACCTGGCACTAGGCATCTAAACCCTTTCGTCTGCAGTCCTGCTGCATACACCGTAAACGTAAGCCCCAAACCCAACATTCTAAACGTACGACGTACCTCAACCCCTATGCCTATACCCTACCCCCTTTTTAGGATGTCTAAGCCCTAAACCCTAAACCCTACACAAGTAAGCCCCGCCCAAAAAACAGAGTTTAGGAACCTAAGAACCCCAAACACTCCGGTCTGAAGACTCGAAACCACACAGTTAAGGCTTGGGGCTTAGAGTTCAGGGTTTGACGGAACCAGGTCTTGTTGAGGTACCTTGTACCATAATTTAGCAAGGAATCTGAAGGCAATTATCCCTAGAATCCCCTCTATTGCTCCACTTTGCATTAAATGTTCCATTTCCTTTCTACTTGATTCTCTATTTATTGGCGATGATCATATCCCTGAACCTTAAATCCCAAACCCAAACCCTATACCCCGGCAAGAATCATCTGGGTTGCCTCGTCCACCGTCTCCTCTCCCATGATGTCCAGGATCTCACCGCAACGCAGCTGTCGAAGGGCATCCTTCAAGCATGGGAAGCTTTGCAAATTAAGGTTTAGGGTTGAAGGTTCCGGGTCCAAGGTTTAGGGTTTGAAGCGTAAGGTTTAGAGTTTAAGGTAGGTCTTGAGATTTACGGTTTAGGGTTTAAGGCCGAGGGTTTGGGGTTTAAGGTTTAGAGTTCTAGGTATAGGGTTCAGGGCCCGGAAGAAAAATTGTGGTTGGGCATCCACCTACTCAGCTATGCAACAGTGACCACAAGGGACTGTGGCAATCATATTAGGACCCCTCTTTTTTCTGTCGTACGGCAACCATTTTTGGCCAAATGCACACATATTGTATGTTGTCAGACCAGTGTTTTTTTGGTACCCCTACTATTCGGGGCTGTAGCATACTTTGCAATGGCGATCCCAAGACGACCATGATGTTGACAACCTTCCCTAACTATATAGCATCACTCCACCTGATCACCCAAAACGCTAAACCCTAAAGCGCTAAGCCCCAAAACGATGAGCCCCTAAGCCCCTAGACCCTTAGGGTATGATAATCCCGCATAATCTCCCAGCCTGAAGTGAGGGCCACCCCGGGACACATATATAGCGGCTTAAACTGCTACCGCTTAGGGTTTCGGGTTGAAGGTATAGGCTCCTCGAGGTCTCCATGCACCGTTCCAAGTGGACAGCTGGACAGCCGACCCCTTTCCTAGAACTTTCTCACATTCCCCAACAAGCTCACAATGCTCAGAACCACCATCCACAACCAATTGAACACTTCCGGGACACAACGATGAAAAGGAAAGACGGCGAAAACTCGCCTGGGGCACTGTGTTCCTCAGCGGCTTCACTCAACTCACATGACGCCACTGTTCTGGGGCTCAGGTCTCCTTGGCAGCCACCTTGCGTGTGGGCCTTAAGCTCCTAGATCTCGGACTCGCCCATTTTGTCCAAAATCATCCCGTCGTCTGCCATGTCCCATTTCTCCGGGTCCGTTGTGGTGCTGGGAGCTGTTGAGGTCCGATACCCGGACGCTGCTGCTGTTGACAAGGACGCTGTTGGGAGCGTTGCTTTAGGGATAGTGGAGAATCACATGGAAAAGAGCATGGAACATTAGATTACCACCAGGTTCATATAGGTCTTCATAAGGATAATTACCAGGGATAATTGCCAAGCTTGTGGTCTCAGGCTCTTTGTTCAATTATGATAAAGGGTGCCGGAAGTAGACCTCAACATGATATGCAATCCTCCTTGATAGAATACGGCTTTGGGTATATTCTAATACGCTCCCCATATACCTCATATTCTACCTACCTAAGGGGGACTATTGGTAATTGACTGTTCAAGCTTCTTCATTCCTCAGCCTTTTGTTTTCACATTTTTGATGCCCACAATCCTGGACCCTGAATCCTTAAACCCTAAGTCCCTATCATGTAGGCTTCTACGTTGTGCACGCGGCGATTTTTTAGCTGGGAGGCGTGATCCTTTCGAGCGATTCAGCCACACATGGTGTAAGGTATAGGGCTAGGGCTTGCTGCATACTGGCTTGGTGGTTGATTGTTAGGGTTTAGGGATTAGGTGGGCCTAGCGTGTAAGGTTTAGGGTTTGAGGGTTCAGGGTGTTGGGCTGCAACTACACAGGGTTTGGGCGAGGTCTTTTTGGCTGTATAATAATTTTGACGGAAAAGTTAACGAAATTGGAGATCCCTGTATAGTTGTGGGTTCATCTCGTCTTGAGTTTTTGAGGGTTTAGGGTTTTACTTGGAAGGTCAAGGGGATTTAGTAAGTAGGTGAATAATGCGGATATGTAGGGTTATTATGTGGATTATTGGGGTTGTTAATCTACTTGCTAAGTCCCCGTGACCCCCCAAAGAAGGCTCTAGGGTACAGATCCCACCTGTCCTGTCCGCCAATGGAAACGGATTCGGTCAAGGCAGTCTCCTGCAAACAAAAAATCGAGTTTTAGGACTGCCATGCGCTTCCAACGGTTTTGCTGCACATTGGAAAATACTGCGCGGCGCGCATAGGCGCAGTTGCCAGGTACTCACAAGATTGTGGGTCTTTCTGTATGGGCTGTTCTAGCCCTTGGAAATCTTTTCTACCAGGTTTGGTGGTAATCAAGGTGGTTCAAGAATCTAACTGCTTTTTCAGAGACAAGCACGAGCCAATATCTAGCGGGGTGGCCTCTGGATTTGGACTTCGTAAGCTTGACATGGTCCTCAAAGCAAGGGAAAATACTACGTGGTGAAATGGTTCTGTTGGCGAGATACTCACACACTGTATCAAAAATTGGAACTGTTGTTGAAGAATACGTTGTGATGGGATGTAGGGTTTGCCTGCTGACCTCCAAACCCTTTCATTGGAAATTCGGGAATAGTAAGAGTGTTTGATGGAGAGGGACCTTCTGTGGAAACGAAAATACCAGGCCTATGTTGTGTTATAGTGTTGCCTGTCCAGCGAACATGGATCTAGGCCGCACAAAAGAATTAGGACAATGGCAATGGAATATGACCGATTTAGCCTTCCAGGGGAGTTTGCTGCACCAGAGAAAGCTGCTTCGGCTGTTTCCTTTCTGAACTTTATAGCTGCTTTTGGCGGAGTAGTCCACGTGATTTTGGAACCCAGGTAATTAGCTTCCTTGGTGTGGGGAACTAGGTCTCCCTTAGCGAATTTGAGATCTGGGGAGGGGTAGCCTGGGTGGGTCAATAGCTCAGGTTTATCAGTGTTAGTTGTAAACCATATAGTGAAGCTGAACAGCGTGTAGGAATGGTTCTAGTTAGGGGATAGAGAATGCCATTAGAGCCGTGTCATCAGCATACTCCAGATCATAGCTATAGACCACGCGTTTTGCGGGGTACCGTGTGCTCGGAATCTAGTATCTATGTCCTCAAACATAACCGTCATGACCCTCATAAATAGATATGGGCTGAGCGGGCAGCTTGTCTAATTCCCGCGTGTACTCTTCCCAGCATTTTGTGTGGTATAGCACTGGGTGCAAAAGGATGGGTCTGTGCACATTTCCTTCATTATTGCGATGTGCTTAAGATGTACTCCTAATCTGTTGAGGGCTATTAACATAAAGGTGTGGTCTACCTTATCAAAAGCCTGTTTATGCCTGTTTCCAATCAAGAAAAATGTGAAATTGTTGTCCTACTTTGGCGGAGTAATCTTGCAGTCGCCTCAGAATGAAGGCCGGGTCAGAAGTACTGCGCGAGCTTGAAGACCGAACTGTGCAGAGTGTAAATGTTTATCATGCGCGGCTGCCAATCTTTTCTGGAGAAGGGCGGCGAAAATTTTGTGAAGTGCGTTAAGGAGTGAAATGGGCCGATAGTGGCTTGATTCTGGCTTGCAGGCCCGAATCCACCTTATGGAGCCGGCAGCCCTTCATAGATGGAGTAATGCAGCTCGACAAGCCCCATTGCTGCTGGGATGTTCATGCAGTACAAGTACGGTGTTCCCACTGGAAACCCAAGGTCTGTTGGCAGGAGATTGGTCGCGCGGAGTTCATCAGAAGGGAAGGCTGCAACAAACTGGTGCGCAACCCTTCCTTCAAGGATCACTGTGTCGCGATGGCCATGCTCCACTCTCATTGATAGGAGGGTGGTCACTTCCTGCCACCACATCATGGTGTCGATCATGCTCATTCCAGACAGTGAGCAACCATCTGCACTCCATGGGGTCAAGATTCGCATTTTGGCTGCCTGACCCGTTGAAGTTTTCAGCCAACCGCCTGGCACCAGAGCGCCTCCTACCAGTCCTTCAGACACCTTGGCCGGAAACACTATCGGCATGAGACCTCCGAGACGCTCATCCAAATCCTGCCACCCAGCTTGCACGATGCAACCGTAGTACTCGGATGGAGTAGACGCATGGGGAATCCGTGTCTTTCGCGTCAAGGTGAGAGGATTCAACAAACATGTTTCTGGGTTGCTGTTACGGAGCCTAAGTCAAGTTACTATACTGGGGATACTCTATTATTTCCTATACATATACCCATTCTGGTAACTGTTAACTTAAGTTCCTTAACAACAATCCAGGATTGTTTAATGCTTCTCGCAGTACTGTAGCAGACTGAGATTATGAGAATGCCCATGCCCTTTTCATGGCTTCCTACGCAATGATGACTTACTAAACATACCGCCAAACCCCTAGCTGAAGTTTTTGGGCGGTTCTCCAAATAATCCCTATCTGGTCCTCATGCGTGCCGCTGCACAACCCTGAAAATGCCGGGCAGGCACTGAGGCTGTCATGGGACTGAAGAAAAAAGTGTTCCCAGAATTCGATACCGCTCATGTTGGCTTAGGTCTTCTGGGGATGGGTCCGGGACCCCACGACAGCCAATGCTTCTGCTAGGTAGGTTGGTATGCAGCACCACTTCTATGCATAGAAGTAATTGCAAGAGACCGTAGATTATTGCCTGATTGCAGCTTGTTTTTTTCCCAACCCAGTCCCTAAGGGTCCAAGGACCCAAATAATAGGGCGTTGGGGCACAAATGGTATTTGGGCCCTAATGCCCAATTATTTGGGTCCTTGGACCCTTAGGGTTCTATATGTACTACAGTCACGAGTTTCTCAGCATGGGGTCCTCTTAGGGACATATAGGAATTACAGGAGGAGAGCAGAACTTCATCGTAAGAATGTATCATGTGTGCACCCCCTTAATGATCGCAGATGTTGTTAGGACACAAAATAGGACCAACCCGAAATCCCAGTGAAGTATGCAGGAAGGACTCGATCGACACCATCCCCAAAGAACGCAAGGTTGGGGTGCACTCGTTTATGTGCAGCGGATTACGCGCGCCTCGACCCAAATGCCTAGGCCCTTGAACCCAAACCCACACATCTAAATCCCAAACCCTAGGCCCCTGAACCCCACCCCGTAAACCCTAAACCCTAAACCAATCACTGACACTGAACCCCTTCGTCCCAGGCCTTTGCAACGCTGAGGCGGTCGCCGCCCAGTTGCAGGTAGACCGTCCCGGCATTGCCTCGAACGGTCACCTGAGGGTTTAAGGTTTGGGGTTGAGGGTTGAACCTAATTAAAAATGTTCCCAATATATGACCATATACCATAATGGGGAGTATTTAACATTAGGGCGGGTTGGGTGTTCCATATTAGGCAGACAGGATAGGAATTGCCTACTCTCCCGTTCGCGAGGGGGGGGATCTCTGCTTTGGGACCTAAAGTACAATGGGCAACCGAGTAATCCCAACTACTTATGACGAGCTGACTGATCTAGGAATATCCTATATATACGGACCTCAGATGTAGATAGATATGGAAAATTGTCGGAGTAAGCAGCGAGCTTCCTGTCTCTTTGTGGCGTTGTGTATATACTCTTCTAGTCGGAAGACAAGTGGTACTTTGCGAATAGAGGTCTGGGGAGCTTGCAAAATTGGGGGAGGGGGGAGGGGACCTTTCAACACCCTAGATATGTATGTTCCTTGAGAGGCGCCCATTCTAAGGATTGTGGAATACATGGGCTTGAGCGATTAAGAAAATCGTTTAGATCTCTATTTGAGGTACCATGTGCCATAATTCTTCCAAAGAATCAAGAACCATGATGACGGCGATCATGTTAGCCCGCAGGGTACAAAGGTTGTTTTGAGAAACTCTGAATAAAAAGGGCCAGGTTGGCCTGCTACTAGGGTCCCCAGTAACCCATTAATGATTAGGGTACCCTTTTTCGCAATGGTTAATTTCATTAGGGAGACCCCAAAATACAAAAGGAAAAAGGGTACTACTGGGGTACCTAGGCTAGCCCCTCTAGTGCCTGAATTATGGTTTGTATCGTTTTCTGAAGTTTACTATGCAGATCCCTTTCTTCACTCCGTACCAAAAAAAAACATGCAAGGAAATCTGAAGCGGGCCCTTCCCTCTGCCTGCTGTCCGCCACGTTCTGCATGCAGCGTTTTCGCTTCCAACCTTTTTGCCAATACACCTCCTTCAGACGCATGGGTTTCCACCCTACCTAAAACGCGTCGGAACTTATAGCCCGCCTTAAGTAGATAGAATATGGCTTTGGGTATTTTTAATTAGATCCCCATATAACCCATATTCTATCTGCTTAAGGGGGAATATTTGAACACTGAAGCGCAATCTGACAAGACCCCACTCCAAGAACACTCAAAACCGGGCAAGAAATGCGAGGGCATTGCGGAGTGCTCAACAAGGTTGAGGTAGAAAGTGGTCAAGTAGATGGGCAGCAAAAGCTTGCGGATTCATGACTTTTGATTCCCAACCTATCACCTGATACGCCATGGCCTCAACACTAGAGGAGGTGCGGCTAAGGAATAGACGCCTCCTCCAAAATCAGAAATGTGCTCCAGTGTCTTGGGACGGTCAATCTAAGCCCTGAATATCAATATCCCACACCCTCATCCCACCCATGCTACGCATAAGAGACCTTGCAAAATTACACCTTAAACCCTGGACCGTAAGGTTTGGAATTAAGGTTCAGTTTTAGGGTTTAGGTTTAGGGTTTACACACCGCACTCTAAACCCTACACCATTAAAACCTCCTCCACTTACCCAGGACATACCAAACGCATCCAAACGCTGAGGCTACGACCCAACCCTCTTGGCCGTCTCGTAGACGCCGGACACGGATTCGGTGAAGGTCAGCCGCCTACAAGGCACGTAGGGAGGTAAAGGTTTAGGATTTGGGGTTTAGGTTGTAGGGTTTGGGGTTTGGGGCCTAGGGTTCAGGGTCCAAGGCTTAGGGTTTTCACTTCGGGGTTTTGGGGTTATAGGGCTTAATACTCCAAACAAAGGTACGTACCCTCATGGGTCATCCGATGTAGCCCCCTTTTCGTCTTCCAAACATACATCTGGACCAGGCAAAGTCGGTTTTGAGACGAGCTGCCAGGGACCAAGCCAGTCACCTCAGCTAGCTTGGTGAGCTTCTTCCCCTCTCGCCTACCTGGACTCCAAAAGTATGTAAAATAATAGCCCTAAACCCATACAAAACAGCCATAAAGGCCATTGTTTTACATGAGCCCCCCCAAAATTGCGGTCTTCGGGAAAATCATCCCTCTCGGGTTGAACGTTGGTACTTGCGGGGAACCGAGGACCTCTGGAATCAAGAGCGTTTGTGCTTTCAGGGTTGGGCCATCGTATGCGCCTCCCACGTACCCCTACATAAACCCTTAAAAATACCCCAAGAAGGTTGATTCTAAGAGGCCACCCAGGCACGTAGCTTCAGTGTTTCAGCCCAGGGAGTGTTGCAATTTTTGCATCTTACACCTTGAGTCACCCCCCCCCCACTCACTACTTGGAGGGACGGGAGGACTTAATAGAAGGGCAAGTTGCACGCACAAAGTTAGCTGGCAAAATTTCAAATTACAAAGAAAACGGACGGCCTTGAGCACGTTCCTTCTAGTGAGAATCAACCCACCCCAGGGTGGAATCAACGTCTGCAAGCTGATTTAGGTCATTAATGCGGCTTAGAGTGTAGCTGGACCGTAACCCGAAACCTTGAACGCCAAAGGGTCTAGACACGCATCTAGTATATATCATAAGTCTCCAAACTACCTAGAACCCCTTTGGGGCCCAAGTATATGCTATATGGTTCCCTGAACGCTTTGGGAATTCTATGCGCCAAGCTGCCTTAAGCCTCACAAGCTTCACGTGAGGGTTTGTCCGGATTGTACGTGGGTTTAGGCTATGGTCCAGTATATTTGTACTGCTACCCGAGTTGGTAGATCCCGCCAAGTACTGTTACCCACGTTGTGACATATGTACCTTTACATGAAAGCATTGTTGGATAACCGATCACCATGCTTAGAAGTCTACTTGATCATCAACTACATCATGGACATTCAAACATTTCGTTGTTCCAGCATGCATTTCGCTGGGGGTTAAGACTGGCGACTTAAGCCCCAAACCCTAAAACATGTATTTTAGTGGTTGTTTTGGAATGGGGTTCGGCAACCCAGAAAACATGCCAGGTGTCAGAATGACCTATAATCATCTACCCTAACATTAAACCCGCCGCCCCCCTAGTATAAAAAAAACAGCACGCAATGATATATTGTGATTTATTGGCAATATTTAACATTAGGGGTGGTGGTGGGGTTTAATATATTATGAAGGGAAGAAGACTATAACTTTCCGAGCTTGGTTCCCCCCCACTTAATACCTGCAAGTTGTTGCCCTACTTTTGCCTCATCCATGGTTGGCTCCTCGTCGCCGATCAACTCAACTACCTGCCGGCGATGAGAACACGTTGTGAACAATGATGACACCCACAAATCTTGGCTGATAAGCTGCGTAGACTTTAATAACCTAAGTTGGACGGGATAAACAATGCCAAGTTATGATTTACATTACCGAAAACCGCCAGTTTGGGCAAGTGAGGCTGAATCCGATGAAATCTTTCCGGTCGAAAAATATGGTGTTTCTTCTTGGCCCTGATGCCGCCAGCCTTAACACATGTGAGCTCCCCCAAGCTCATGATTCAGAAGCGCTTGTAGGTTTAAGCAAACCCGATGCCAAGAAATGTTATTGGCAAAAGCCGTACGCCGTACACATTGCCCATGCAAATCACGCGGGAAAGTTTAAAGTTAGAATGTCGCGGTTCTTCATGCAACTTCTACAAACTTGTGCGCGACATTCACTCGGTCAGCGTGCAAACGCGTGCATGCGTCCGACAAACCTGCAGGTTACCAGTTGTGATTTGAAGGCAAGTGCCACGCACATACAAGTCTCCAAACGGGCGTGTGCGCTTTTCGCTGTCTGCAATGCACATGAGCATGATTTGTGCCAACCGTGTGATGTAACGACGGCCCTAAGCTGGCTCAGCCCTTTGGATATAAAACTGTTTGATCATCTGGTGTCATGGAGGTACTGTTGTAGCAGCACCGGCAGTAGTAGCAGCAGCAGCAGCAGCAGTAGTAGTAGTAGTAGTAGCAGTAGCAGTAGTAGTATTATTATTAGTAGTAGTGTGGTAATACTCGAAATGAAAAGATCACAAAAATAGTAGTAGTCATACCAACAGTAGTACTAGAAGTACTGTTTGTGGCAATGTCAAGTTGTGTCTGTTCACAAGACTTCCTTCCATGTTTGCTAGCTTCCGTGCTTCCTTGCTTCCTTCCTTCGGCAAGCACCGGGCGAGAAATGTGAAGACCCCGCGTGCGCAGGCTGCATTTGGCTTTAAAACGCTCCACACGAGAGCTCAGTTTCGCCGGTTGGTTTTTTGCCTTTTCTCAGTTTTGAACCCCTATCTAATTAGACTGTTCCTACTTGCATTTGTTTTGAACTTTATCCCCCGGAAGACATGCGTACCTCAAGGTGCACGACTGTTGAAGGTTATATTCAATCTGCGAATCTGTTCGGCAAGTCAAAATACACCGCGGCAGTCACGGCAAAATAATGCAAAATACATGTCGTTAGCGGTCGGGCCGCCATTTCTCTCCTGTAACCGCCCCGTGGCCTCGCATGCGCCACTCTCCTTGCGTAACTTTCAATGACTTTCCGAGAGGCTAATGCGAGATAGTTGGGCTTAACGTCACTCTGGACTGCACGTTTTCCACATGTAGCCATGTTAAGCTGGGTAGCCAACAAGGAGCTCAGTCGTTTTAATGGTTTTCTCCTCCGTGTGTTGCAAGACGTGAGTGTTGGATTGCTAGCTTCGCATGAAAATACTGCCGGACGCTGCAAAGAAAAATGCATCAAGCCCTTCATCTTGGTGTTGTTTGCATCCCACACATACTGCCCGTTGTGCTGACAGGTGACGAGTTCTCGCAATAGAGTCTGACATGGACGCTTGTGCTTATGTCGTCCTTATGCAGAGAACTCCAAATGTCGAGACATCTGCGCGACGACGTGTGTACAATGTAATCAAAGAAGGCCAAAAGCCTACAACAGCAGAAGAGCATGAACTGCACTTGGAGCTATAGCCAGCCTGTTATGGAGTCATGAGCCACCGAAAAAACCTTCTTCGGGACGATTGTAAAGCACAGAACGCAAAGTCTGTTACACAATCATCTGCTTTCTTTCTCAATCAGGGGACCTGAATTGCCGCGTGACAGCTCGTCAGAAAACATAGTCCTGCACCCTTACACTTTAAACCCGAAACCCTAAACTCCTACATCCCTACACCCTACCCCCCCTACATTCAGTCCCTGACCCCTGCAGCCCTCTTAGGCTCAGAACAGCGGCTTAAGTCTGAAACCCGGAAGCAGCATCAAGGGATCAAACCCTGGACCTTGAATCTTGGAAATAGAAGTACTGAACCGAACCCTAAAAGGCTTTACGGCTCACTTTGTGGGACTCTGAGGTCACTAAGAAGTTAGGGAACCTACCTACAGAGGGTCACAATAGGTTTGGTATGACTACATAAACTAGCTCTACGGTCCCTCAAAGGACGCCCTTACTTAGCCCCAAACCGGACACCCAAAGATTGTACTCAGATTAACCCCCTAATGTCTAGGTAGCATTAATGAAAGGGGTGACAATAGCGTGTTGTTGCCGGCTCGGGAAAATCCCGGGCAGTCAAATTTGCTTTCTAACAAGCTCGGAGCCCGAAAACATATAAACAAGTCCACATCGCAATAATAAAGGGGTGGCAAGACTACTATTGTCCGGCCGGAAACGTCCCGATTTTAATAGATTTCCTTCTACGTGTCCTACTAGTATTACGAGCTGCACTACCTGGTCCTACCCGCGTCCCCGTCATTTACTATTGCGATCCCCCCCTCCCTCCCGTAAGCCCAAATCGCAAAACAAGTCTGGGGGGGGGGATTCTTTATTGTCACCTAAACATTCCACCCTAAACCCTGAAGCCTAAACCACGCAACTGCCCCTGATCCTACACTGCACGATGACCCAAGGCCTCAACCCGTGACTACCTACAGCGCGGAAGTAATAACGTGAACCCTAAAAGCATGTACAATAAAAAAAATATAGGTTTGGAGCTATTGTTCTACTTACTTGTGGTGTTCAGGTATACCTTGGGTCCTTAGGTAGTAAGCACCCCTCAGAAAATGTACGTAGTGGAGGTTGCAGGTAGAGCCCACAAGTCCTTAACCCTATACACCCTAAACCCTCTCCCGGACCCGTTCTTCTTACGGCAGCTTGCGAATGCCGTGCTTTGGACTATGCGTTTGACAAAATGGGGATTTCCCGAAATTAGGGGTACTTTTTTTGCGGGGGGGTCCTTATGATAAGGATTCTTGTATTTTGGGGTGCATAGTAGGTTCCCCCTATTTGGGGAAATTATCAATTCCTGCCACACCTTTCTCCTTTTCCCTCCAAGGAGTTTGTTTCTCTGTTGAGCTTCTCGATGATTAAGAACCTTGTCCATACACATTCTATTATCGCCACCGCAAACACTTTGGCAACTAGCTCGCAAACGGCTGAAATGCATGAAGTCGCAGCCTGGGAAAAACCAACCCAAAGCGGGGAAGCCCCCCCGCTACGCAAGCCAGCTTTTCAAATTCAAGCTCTCCTCTCTCGCAATGTCAAATCCTGAAAACACAGATGCGAAACATGCACCTATAGGGACGTAAACCAATGATAGACCCCTTTGCTACTGCTCTGGGTTGCTCATAGGATCCAATGTAGATGTATTGGGGGAAGCATATCTTTATACCTGCCTAGAACACCGGCCGGCCCTCCAAAACAAATGAACTACAAGGCAGCCCCCGTGCATGTACTAGGCATACACGATATGATTCTATCTTCCAAAGCAACCCTACCTAAGCTCTACACAGCTCATACAACAATATCACGACATGTATGCAACAGGTGGCCCCAAGCCCTATAAATCTCAAATAATCTAAGACGTAAACCCAATACATTAAATATGAATTCTGAACCCTCGAATACGCCCAAAACTTCAAACCGTAAACCTTAAACCCCAACATAGAACTCTGAATCGACACCAAAAACAACCCGAACGGAATGGTCTTGGATAGAACTTGTCAGCCCACTAGCTTGCGTTGTTCCTCCTCACCTTACTTGGGTTTAGGGTTTAGGGTTGCGGGTTTAGGGTAGGGGCTACTTCGATTCTTATTGCAAGGGGGAATGACCTTACCTGCGGCTATCCAACAACAAGAGGTTTGCTACTTCCACGTTGGGGTATCCTGAAAGATGTGTTCACATCACTTATTGGGCTTTCTTATGCTAACGGTATCAAACTGAACCTGTACTCAGCTTAATGCAGCTTAACAGGGCAAATGCCTCAGGATTAAAGAGCCAGGGCCTACCCAGACCCTCCAATGTAGTTCCTTTTTGGGTTTGGTATGGTTTTTGGTAAGGTTTCTTATTAGGGCTACCAAAAAGGTACTACATTGGAGGGTCTGGGTAGGGTTTGAAGGTTCAGGATTTACAGGAGGGCTTAAGCGCTCGGGCTTAAGGTCGAGGGTGGAAAAGCCTAGGGTTGAAGCGGCCAAGGCATTACGGACTAAGGGACTGCCTACAGCTTGCGGGGTTCCCCCATTTAGGGGTACCCTTTTAAAGAAGGTCATAGGCGTTCTATATGGATATATGAACCATACCCGAAACTCCTAGTATCCCCCTTTACAACCCCAATAATACTCCCCTGTATAATCCCCTACGTAACTCCCCGTGAAGGAGTTTAGACTATTGCTCTTTTAGGGGTGTATAGGGCTTAGGCTTATGACCCTGAACCCTCAACCTTAAGGGCTCAGTGTTCGGGGACTGGGAGGCGGCATAAACTGGCGTTTGCTCGTAAAATATTGCATACCGCACCCCCGAACCCGGTTCTTTAAACGGTGGCCACTAACTTATTCTATAACATAATCAGTAGCTTTGAAAAATAGCGACTGCGAGTGTTATCCTACCCTAAACCCTAAGCCCTCAACACTAAACCCTGCTCAGTCAGCCCTGAACCAGGCCCTAGCCCTAGACCCCCATACCGTAGCAACTACATTAAATTCCAACTTCTAGGTATCTGGCTTCTATGGAGGGTACTTAGAGGGTCTAGGTAGCCCCCATACCCTAAATCCCTCCACCCCTAAAGGCCTAAATCTAGGGACTTTAGGAGGGACCCCTAATAGGGACCCTTAATCCCATTACCATATATATCCCTTATATAGTCATTGTATAACCCCTATATCCGTAGGTAGTCCCCATATTAACCCCCATAAGCTACAAGGGGTCCCTCCTAAAGTCCTTGGACTAAAGTCTAAACCCGAAATCCCAAACCCTA